GTGTCTGTTGCTGGACTAGATTTCTGGAGATGTGGAATTGAAAGCTTGAATCCCCCCCCATAACATTTTTAAATCTCCTTATGCTCATATGGTGTTCAGATCAAAAGGGAGACATGACTCTGCTATCCCTGTAACTGGGATATAAGGATTATGCAGACCTTTGTTCTGTAGAGGTTCACGTGTTCAGTCAAAGTTGTTCGGATAGTCCTGCCCTGGCAAATCTGCAGTTTTGTGCTCTTTGCTAAAATTTATTCTTGTGGTGTGGGCTTGGAGCACCAAGTACTGGCAGCTGCTGTGTCTGGGACTGCTGTAACGCTGTGTCCTTTTGGGAAGAAAGGGCATTCCACATAACAGTCTGTTTCAAACATTTGTCAGAGTGATGTCTATAATGCAATAAAAAGGGGAAGGGGATAGGGATGTAATCCAAATGAGATTACCAGGGAGAGAATCTGCTACCAGATGTGTGCGTGTCTTTCAAGGCTGGCTTTAATTAGAGAAGTGGTTCTTATAAATACATCATTTAGAAATGGCTGGTTGTCTTCATTCAGGCCAGTCCCTATAAGACACTGCTGTTTACACCACCCAAATAAATTACAAAACCCCTTCTTTGATGCACCAGGGCATCCAGTTGAGATCATGTCCTGTTGCAAAAAAGAATCTCAGTGGGTTCCAGAGGGGGAATGAGATGGTTAGCCAAATTTAAATGAAATCTTCTGGAGTTCTATTCCTCTTCTTTAAATAGAAAAGAAGAATTCCCCTTATTGGAAAGACCAGTGGTATGTCCCTTCCAGTTCCTTACCTTTGATAAATCCTGATGTAAGTTGTACCAGCACTTCAAAAGAAGCCGTATCTCAATGTAAACATGGTTTTGAGATTGTTCCCCCCTCACCCATCCAAGTCCATCATGTTCTACCCTCAAAGGTTCTTATTGATAAGAGGCATCTCTTCAGACTTAGAAGTGGGGAGGGAGTACATTAATAACATCATGGGTCCCTCATCCCACCCATCCCCTGTGATATCTGTCAAACTGTGCCTTCTTGATTTCAGAGATCTACATCTGTCTGCAACCTTTAGCAGGAGAGCCCTTATTACAACCAGCTAGATGGGATTTGAGCAGCTTTTAGAAGGCTGTTTTATGTTTCATTTGATATGTTTGAAATTGGAACTTTTTTTATATAGTGAAAACAGTTTTGTTTGCTTCTTGTCACAGCTGCTGTTAACTGTAAAACATGGCCTCAGTGCTTGGGCCCTTTTATGTTAGATATAATATAGAGGTTAGAAATAGGTGGATTATAAATCCATCAATTTCTAGCTGGAGCAGTTCATTTGCAGCATTCACAAAAGTTAGCTGCACTGAGAGGTGAGAGGAGAGAATGACAAGTTGGGCCCTACTGATGTTTCCAGTTATTTCTTTTCCTTGTGCTAATTGATCACAGGCTTTCGCATCAATGCGGACTACTGAGCTCTGATAGTTCAACTGGCCTTATTGAGTTCACTTTCAGTTACTACCATTATCACTATATCTTTATGTGTGGTTTGGTTGAAGGAGACCTTGGTTTGTTATAGTTCTGCAACAGTGGAATTCTGACCACAACACATGATGGAGGCTGAACAAGCTGTGCTGGTTTTGAGCTCACCACAGAATGTGGGAGTTTTGGAATCCAAGGATCCTTCAGACAGCATGGTCTCTGACATTTGTGGTCCAAAAAGCAACTGGCTGAACCTCTGCTTCAGATTACACATGAAAATGTCTGTTTCATTGTTATTTATTTGAAAAGATCTGGGTACTTTGCACTTGTTTGGACTCCCACAGAGATCTTAAATCAGGGGTAGGCAACCTTTCCCTTTTAAGGGCCGAGGGACTTCAGCTCCCAGAAGCCTCAGCCATGTTGGCCAATAGTCCGATGTTGGCCAATACCTCCTGGGATTCTGGGAGCTGAAGTCCCTAGGCCCTTAAAGGGGAAAGGCTGCCTACCCCTGTCTTAAATCTTCAGCACTTTTGTTGAGATGTGGTGTGACCATGCCAAGGATGGGCCGCTATTATCCTGCAGGTATTGTTGGACAGTAACTCTCATCAGCTTTTGCCAGCAAAACCAGTGTTGAAGGGTGAGGAGGGTGGCCATTTAAGAAATCTGGAGGGGCTACAAGGAACCCATCCCTGGTTTATAGGTAGGTTGAGTCTATACTGCTGTAGATCCTTTGTTGCTTTTGTGACAATACTGTGGAGATGGCAGGTTGAAAGGTAAGTGTTAGAACACATGAAGACTGGAATTGTCTTGTCTTAATGGGGCCTTGGTACTGTTCTCAGTTTTCCTCTGAAGCCTTTTCTTCCGGGAAGAAAGCAGAGCTTCATTTAAAAGCCTTGGACAGGAGTGGAGTGATGTCTGCCTCTGTCTACTTCAGCCATTTGTTCTGGTTGCCTTTGGGACTGATCAGGCCACTGTGCACCTTCAACCCTCACAGATATTAGTAGTAGGCTTGCTTCTCCCTTCTTAGCCTAGCTGTGGACTTCACAGTACTTGCAGTGTCCTAAATGTGCTATTAAGATCCATTAGTTGTATAAAAAACCAACACACAAAACCCAGGTAGAAGTGAAGACTTCTAGCACTAGTATGTTGAAATAGATAATCAACTCAGCTACCTACTAGCTAGAGCAAAAGCAGCAATCCTATTACTTTTCTTGAGCCTTAAAGTTGTTTTCCAGCTCTTTGGAATCACTGCTTGTTTCCTATATGCTTATAGTGTAATATCTGCATTAGAAATGGAGATATAGCTTGATATTTGAGAAGTTCTAAGCCATGTACTTCTGTTGATGTGTGTATGTGTTTGTGTGTGTGGCATTTTTCCAGCTCCTTAACATTTTGGGGCTGGCTGTGCCAACCTCTCTCCTTGAATCCAGAAGTGATCAGACGGTCACTCTACTTTGCAAAAAGCACTTTTGCTTTAGGGGGAAAAGCAGGATTTTTGTTGTTAAAACAAAGTGTTAGAGGGGCACACCTTTCTCTAGAGGAGAATCACTGGTCCAGGAGACTTTTAGAAGCAGCAGTTCTCATTCTTGAGGAAAATGAGAAGGGGTGGGCGATTTAAGGATCAGTCCAAAGGAATCTGATTCATACTCCTGTTTTATACGCCCCCTCCTCCCTTTGCAAGATACCTCTTGCCCTCCTGCGTTTTTCCCCCCAGAAATCTTAGCTGATTGGACACATCTTTTATCTTTAAATGGAATGTATTGTGCCGATCAGCATTGTGCAAGAAACTCTTGAAGTCTTAATATGCAGCTCTGCTCAGAGATGGAAAAAACCTGAGGTGTTTTCATTTATTTCAGTGCCTAGAGATTTGACAGCAGTGTTTAGGAATCCACAATATTTGTTCAGCCTGTCAAAGGCACCCCAAAATTTGGTTTCTAGAGTCTAGGCATTGGAAGCCGCTTTCTTTCTTTCTTTCTTTCTTTCTTTCTTTCTTTCT